AGAGCTCAGAAAATCGTATTAGGATATGAGCATCTGTAATTTAACATCCACCTCTGTTCACGTGATAAATATCACATTTTAACCTTAGCAGGGAAGTAAAGTACAGCCAGCCAAAGCAAATCAGTTAGCCCACCTCATGCTCGAGGACAAAGTTCCCATCAAGTTCCAAAGCCAAGGAACCCATCCTCTAGGGACATTACATGATAGAAAAATGCCTCTTTTCTTTTTAAACCCTGGCAGTCGACTGGGACCCAGCAACATCTCGCAGCGTGTGCTTCGCTGAAGCTCGGCTGTTGGAAACAAGCCCCACTCCGAGAGGGGCGGGCAGGACCATGCTGGAGATGCAGTGGGTGCAACCCTCCGGCTCGTGGAGCAGCCTCCAGCCTGCTTTTGAGCAGACAGACCCGTCCTGCTTTGCCCTTGCTGAAAATCAGCCAGGTGCGTGTTGGTTCTGACATTTATAATGTAGACAGAAGCAATAATATATGCCAGATGCTCTGCAGCTGCAAATCGCTCTATCTGAACTCAATTTACAGCTCTGTGGCGATAACCCCGTCCCAGTCTTGCCTCCCCAGCAGCGGCAGCTGGGGCTGCCTCAGCACCCAGGCAGGCACAGCGCGATCTCCAGCAGCTCAGCTTGGCCTCCCTTCACACACAACCGGGGTCAGACTCCACACCACGCAGGCAGTCTCACGGGCTTGCATTTTGCAGCTCTAGCACTCCATAGCCATAAGCATTTGGATGTTCAAGAGATTATGATTAGGAGTAGGTCTGTCATGGCATGGTCATGCTGGAGAGACGTGGCCTCACCCGTGCTCAGGAATGGCTTCTGATGTGGCAGACAGACACGATGCATGTGCAGCCTGTCCACACTTGCCCATGCATCTCCATCCTCCAGTCCCACAGCATGTCGTGCTTCATACCTCCAGGAGTAACTGGGTCTTCCCTGAGCTCGGCTGTCACAGCCCTCCATCATGTGCAGCCTTTTTAAACTGAAGGGCCTTGGTGGCTTAAATATTTCTTCCCTAATTACCCCTGTTAACTGTTAAAGTGTAGTTTTGACAGATGCCCTCTGCCAGAGATCCCTCAACCTTTTCCTTCGGGAGGTGTATCCCCGGGTCAGTGCTGCCTTCAGATGCTTTTCCTCCCTCCGTGGGCTGTAGAAACTGTAGGCCATAGCCGTTGGACCACAGAGACGTTTATGGTGTAGATCTGTTTCCTGAAGTCCCGCTTTTGGCTGTTCCTCAACTCCAGAAACCTACCTGTGGCATCTTGCCTACCATCCTACACCCACGATCTCCATGAAGATATCACTCATAGGAGGTCCGTCTCCACCTCCCACAAGAAATCCATGACACGAGAGAGAGAGGGCAAGCAGCAGATGACAGTGAGGAAAGGGACAAGGCTCAGTGAGTGGGGGCCAGGTCCAGTGGTGCTGCTTGGTGCCACGGACCATGGCTGATGGGGCAGGGATTCAGTGTTCATTGCTGACACCTGATGGAAGATGAGTTTGGGCAATGCCAACAGTACACCTGCACTGCTGGGAAAGCCATGTGTTGGAAAGCAACCTGTGCTGAGCCCGTTGCTTTTGCTTTGGAGATCTGGCACCTGTATTTAGTGTAATGGATGGAGAAGCAATAATGCACCTGAGAGCAGGATGTAGCCCAGGCTGCTGGCAACCTTAGGGAATTCTCTCTGCATCACCGGCCAGTGAAAAAGTTGCTGAACTGTTCAGTTTTGCCTCAGGTCTTTTTTAACATGGGCAGTTCACTTCTCAGTGCTTGCGCCTCCCCAGAAAGGTAGGAGGGGTGACCCCCCAGCATGCACCGAAACCTCCAGTGGGATGGTGTGGGATGGGGACCACCACCCCAGGTGCTTTCCAGGATGAAAACCAGGATGCTGATTTTGGGCTGGGCATGATTTTACTCAGAGCTCCTCAGGGGAGCCCCACGAGGGGTCTGATCAAGATTTGCAGCCCATCAGCAGTCATCTGGGGAGAGCAGTACGGACCAGAAAGCCATTCCAGTTACAGTCAAAACAGAGAGCTTTTGGGACAGTGAGATGCGACCATCTGTCATGGAGTAGGCCAATGACAGATATGGCTCTTCCCAGTCCTGCGTACTCCAGCTCTAAACTGGTCCTGGTATGGATTTCAGTGGAGTTGCACAGAGCTTGTGCAGTGGTGGGTGAGGCCTTTAGGCTTGTTAAAATTTCAGGAGGAGATTTTCTGGGGAACAGGAGTGTCCCCCTTCCCTCCCTTAACCTCTTCTGTTATTGCCATCTGATGTGGTTACGGAGATGGGTCTGCTCAGCTCGCTGCCGGCTTCCAGCCCAGCTGGCATGCAAGCATCCCAAAAAAGTGGGCAACCTTGCAACCCTCAGAAAGCTCCCAAATGAATATAGGGAGGTAGTGAGGATATCCAGACCCAAAATGTCAATTCATCAGCACCTGAAGTGTCTTCAGTGCTACTGATAATTATTACAAGAAATGATTGCCTGTCTTTCCGGAAGAAGTTGAGAGATCCAGTAAAATTCTTCTTTGTTTGGTCTTAAAGTTATTTCAATGATTTGTTAGCAGTTTTACATTTTACAGTGTTGACACGTTCTACGTGCTTAGGAGGAGTAATCTCAGATGAAGGTTTAAACTTCTTTTTCTCTTCCTTTCGTTTTTAAAGGATCTGAAAACAGCTGTGAAATGTGAATAGATTTTAACTATGAAGCCCAAGCTGCCAAGATGTTATTTCCTGTAGCTTTGATTCATGCAACTGAAGAAATAAATTGGATCAAAACATTGTTTTGTACCCGCAATTTTTGCCTCCCTCTGCCACCCCCCAGGCTGAGCTTTATTTAAAACCAAAATACCAAGGCATACTCTCACATGAGCTCATTTTTCTTGCTGTCGAGGCACCTCATTGCAGGAACCGCTTCCTTGGATCAGGGTGAGTCTGAGCCCAAGCAGCCTGACCTGGGGTGCCAGTGGTCACCCACTCACCAAGGGAAGCAGCGTGGTGTTACCTGCTGTGGCCTGGTGCCACCTGCACCCCAGGGTTTTACGGTGAGGAGAACAGGGCTTCCTCCACAGAATTTGCCATCCTGGGCCGAGCGTCTGACTTTCAGTGAGACCCGGCCCCAAATCCATGACTGCACAGCTTGGAAGTCTAGCAAAAGGGTTCAGACTAAACATCATCACGTGTTGTTGCATTAGCAATCAATTTATATGAGTATGTCTGATCGTATTCGTGTCTGCATTAATTATGTATTTCATTAGGCTGCCAACAGCACCCGCTAGCACAGGACACACCAAGTAAATAACTGCTCTTCCAATGTGGGACGGCAGGCCATAAGATCAGTGTCCTCTTCTCGCTTCCTCTGTCTCAGCATCTCCTTTTACAGTATTTACGCCACAGCAAGGCACAGCCAATTCAAAGAAGCCTCCAGACACTTGTCATCTGCTGCAGTGCCATTACCGGCAGCTGGAGGCTGTGTGCACAGCTGAACTCCCTCCTGTGCAGAGGTCCTACACAACATCTATGCATCATTAATGTCGCCCAGACGGAGGGCTGTAATTGCTGCCTAGGCCTTCTGGTGGCTTTCTGTCCAAGGGTTCATTTCATTCTTGATATCTTACAAATGATTGTAATATAGTACCTCTTAAAAAAAACCAGAACAACAACAGGTAAGTATGCTAGAGAAGCTTTTGCTAACATGCTGGCCTGCTCTCGCAGATTTAAAACTGTAGAAAGCACTGACAGCCATCTTGCGTGATTACAAGATTGTTGTCACAGAAGTCACCTTGAATAACAGTACCTCATTCAGATGTGCTAAGGGCAAAACCAGAGGGAGACTGTTGTCTTAATTTTCTAGAGACATTTAAATTAGGCATTGTAGTGAGATTGTCAGTCATGTTACCTGGCTGCTGAGGCTTTGGGACTGCAGTGCTGATAGGATTGCTCTTATTAACTGATTTAGAGGTGACATTGGAAAGGGGACAAGGACCTTTCAGCTTCTAGTGTAAGAATGTCGATGCAGAGCGCCATGGCTAGGAGGCTTTGGGCATCCAGGTGCTTCTTGGTGTGACCGTCTCCTGCCCTGCTCCTGACCTGCAGTGATGCCAGTGGAAGTCCTCCTAACCAGACAATAAAACACCGGTTGCATAGAAATATAGTTTGGAGGGGAAAGCAATAAACTGCCTGGGGAAGGACTGCTAGCCTGTAGGAGGGAGGATGGAGAAAATTTTCCTTTCCACTGCTGGGTAGGCAGTTACTACAGACTCCTTCTGCGTCCACTCCCTGGGCAAATGCCCACTGGGAAGTTGCATTAAATTAGTGTGGGATACATTTCTGTCAGAGGTTTGGTTGCTCGGTTTTGCATGGTGTCTATCATTATAAGAGCTGCAGAGAAAGGCAAGACTCCTCAACGGGGTTGGACAGGAGGAGCTTGCTGTGGGTACTGAGTGATTTCCACTCACTGAATATCAGGTACAGAAGTATTGTTTCCAAATTCAACCCTTAAGCTGAAAGCAGAGGAGAGAGGACCGAGGGAAGCCATGATCACAATCTTCAAAGCTAGAAGCAGTTGCTGTGGAGTGGCAGTGAGAGACTCTTCATGCCTGTGGGGCGCAGGGGAGAAGTCACGGGCTTTAAACAGCAGCATGGGAGGCCTGGGTGAGGTATCTGGGTGGGTGTCCAATGGCCGGGGCAGCTGCACACTGTGACAGACCATCTGTGAAGGCTGAGGAGGTTTTGCAAGGCAAGCATTTATGGGGGATGGACTCAGCCTAGCTAACCTGGCTTGGGAAGAGGAGGTGGCGAGGTCCCTCCAGGACCGTCCAGCCACCCTGCCTCTGTGCCAGCACCAAGGTAGCTTTTTCGCTGAGGGCAGGAGCCAGTAAAGGGAGACAGAGGGAATCACATCTTCATTTGATGGCATGCCCCTTATTTTCATTCTTTTCTAGCTAAACTATAATTAAGGAAGAAAGAAGTGTGAAGGACTAAAACAAGATGTTGGTGCTGTCTAACGACACAGCCCTGAATTCATTCATCTCCAAGCTGCTTCAAGACTACCTGGAGCAGACAAATAGCTCTGCACCTTCCCAGGCCAGAAGTGCCGGCAGCAGTCTAGAAATCGTCTATGTGCTGATGATGATCGGCCTCTTTGGCTTCTTCTCAGTGGGAGTCATGCTGACCAACATCCGCGCCAGGAGGCTGGAGGAATCCCGCGACCCCTTCCACACCTACATTGCCACAGACATTTGGCACAAGAAGGACAGGGAGTATTTGCAAGCCAGGCTCATAGAAAATTACAAGCTGTGCTGTGTCTTTGAAAACCAGCTGGCCGTGGAGCAGCCAAGCATGCAGATTCCTGAGGTGAAGTCTTCCTAGCAAAATGGGAGAAAGGATTGCACTTTGCACAGGGACAACCCGAACGATGCCTGGTATGAACCAGGCTAGCTGCTTGCCCATCTGCAGAGCTTCAGGCAATGGCCTGGGTCAGGCTGAATAACCGTGAACTGACGGGTGAAGCTGATGGGTCTGTGATGGCCCTGGTGCTGCAGAAGTCCCTGGCCGCCAGCACCTTGTGGCAATCACTGTAAGGCCAAGGAGGGGGACGCACAGCAGGAGTATCATGGACTCATCAGCTTCACCTAGCAAAAAAGACAAATGTTGGCATTGCCAGTGTGAATGCTTGCAGTAGTCCATGTAATTAAAATCAAATAAGATCAAGCAGAAGTCAAGTAAGGTTTAGGTGATCGTTTTCAAGTAAGATCATTTTTTTCTAAGAAAAAGTAGCTGAAATATTTCATTTGCAATTTTGTCCAGCATAGAATAATAATTTTATAAATTGTACAATGTTGTGGATGACCTATTTCTTTCAGAATGATGCCCCTCTTTGAGATGTAATTTTAGAAAAAGATTCCCTTTTTTTGCTGAAAACTATTCCTGTGGAAAAATGCAGGTTTTGGAGGGGAATTTTTTAGTGACTGTCTCTAATTCCTGGCAGGTACCCCAGACCGGTCTTGCCGGCTACTTTTGGTTTTCCTTCTTAGGGATGGGGGTTGATCCCAGCAGCAATATCCACCCTTGTACAAAGATTCAGCAGCCCACAGGGTCTATGCCATGCAAGTGTGTGATGTTTCAAGTATTTCAATCGCATTTAATTATTGCACAAGACCTAAGTGCTAGCCCTTGGTTGGAAGGTGAATTTCCACTCTGTGAAGAGCATTTCCATAAAGTGCCTGATATTTAATCACCGACACAGCTTATGTCTGTGCCTAACTTAAACCCTGTGAGCAGTTCCTCCAGCTCCCAGGAGCAGCCTTCCTCAGTGCAGCTGTTTATCCTTTGCAGTACCCAGTGCAAGGTCCGTGCCAGCAAGGTTTTCCTGCCCTTGGCCTCCTTACCCCCTCCTTCGGTGGGCTGTGTCTGCCAAGCTGCAGCGGCATGGCGG